CCTTAGGACTGGGGAACTGCTCTAGGAGAGGCTTAAGAGGGACAAAACCACCTATCTTTCCTGGCTGAAGCATTTCTTCAAAGACTTGCAACCAATTATAGACGACATCACAGAGGAGAGCCGTGATTTTGTAGTTGGGTCAGGCTATCGCGGCGACTTGTACTTGGCCGCCTTCGTCAGTTACTTCATCTCCTTTTTTGTTCTACCTAGTAACCCTACCGAGAGCATTAATCCCCTGGTGTTTCCTTTGGCTGTCAAGCTCTGTAGCGGTAGTCAGATTTCTCTGGTCCCCCTCTTCTTGGAGAATTATACTTCCGCATTGACCTCATTTATTCTGATATGGAGCGATCTATAGGCCGCTATGATGTGTGGAGCTTCGTACACAATTAGTTCCTAACTGTTTTTTTCTATGAGAGATTCCCTGCCATGGGCCCTAGCCCTAAAAAGTATGAGCTCTTCTTCACCGATGAAGTCTTTGATGCAAAGGTCCGCCCTATTCTAGATGCAGAGGGTCGACCTGTCATGAGGCAAGTGCGTCAATCCCTTCCTCGCATCTCTCGGTGGTCTGGCCTTGGTACCAACAGACCCTTTGCAGACTATGTCGACTGCATAGAGAATTGCGTGTTCCGCCCTTTCACTCAGCTTCTTCCAGGCATTTCTGTTGTCCCATTTTATTTTTCAAAGGCCCGTCACATTGATTTTTCTCTCGACAGTGTCCAGGCTAACTCCCTTCTTATTGCTGCTATGATACGCCCTAGATTTCTACCTATGTGGAACGAAGAAGGCATATCCAGCGTCGTCTATCGACCAGATAGGGTCCTTAGTTAGTTCGGAATGGATCAGGGTGTCCAACATGCCCCTCTGCCTCAGACTGATTTCCACCAGAGCTTTCATCGGTTTGCCCGTGACTATATCGCTCTACTTGTGGAGGGCTTAGTCTTCATGGAGCTTCCTTCACTTGGGAGAGAGGGCGCATTTACTCTTAATAACAGGCTGTTCTAGCACTGCAACCTCAATTCTTTCTTCAATTTTTGCAACAGCGCTCACGTTGTCCCTACGATGAAACTTATCCTGCAGCTTGACTTATCCCTTCATCTGCTTTCTGGCCGAGGGAAACAAACCAGTATATTTTGCCGCTTTAAGCTTTTATCCCTGCCCGCCGTGGAGCAGCCTCACCCGTCTGGGGCAATGTCTGTTCTACCATTGCAAATTGCTCCCTCTCAAGTCGGCATAACAATACGTATGACCCGCTCCAAACCTCAGCCCAAGCAGCAGCGACATCAGTTGCTGAGGCACACGCCTCACAAAGTATGAAGAGACTCCAAAAGGTATTCATACTTAGAAAATATTTTTGCATTGCTTCCTTGGGCTTCTTATATTTACTTAAGTAATCGTATAATCTTTTTCCTTTCCAGAGCCCATCGACCATACCACCTTCGGGCCCCGGAGGTTCTTCTACCGCCATTGGCATTTCCTCAGATTCGGACGATGAAGACAACCTTCCCATTGCTACAAGGCCACAAGATTCAGGACCCGCAGGACAGTTCTTCCAGATGTTGAAGAGGAACCAAGTGTTAAGGCTGAACTAACTACTGAGGCCGAGCCAGTTGTGGAGGTTGCAGATAATGTACAAGTTTCCCCTACTGTGGAAGTTGCAGCAGGTGATATAGTTGCTGAGGGTTCAGAGCCTCCAAACCCCGCTAATTCTGTGCACTCCGACCGTTCCTTTGTCGGCAGAGATGATTTTGTCCTTGAGACCCCAAAAGAAGATTGCGGTGTGAGAGAGCCGCTGGAAGTTGCACCACCTCTCTTTAGAGTTACATATGGTGGTTCCTCCCAATCCACTAAGTCTCTATTGGTTCAACAGACTCCAGTTCCAAACGTCCAAGTGGCTGAGGGGAGTGCAAGTGTAGCGGCTGCTTCCACTGTTCCTGCTGTGGCCCCTCTAAATTTGGACCGACTTGCAGAGGTAGCTGTCACCATAGCTGCCTACACTGTTATTATTGTCGCTGGGACCTCTGACCTAGTTGCTTCGGCAACCTCTAAACAGTTGGCAAACATATACCACACTCACTTTCCGGAGGTGGCAGCTGACCTTGGGGTGTCTCAAGATTTTTATACTGGGATGGATACCACTGCTCTTCTAGATCTGAACGTCGGAGACTACCAGATAAATGACCTTTTTTTGGAGCGACATGATGGTGCATATAGCTTTAGTCTTTCTCGCGAGGCCAGTTCACCCGGTCGCCAGCCGGCATCTACCCACTCTAATGTTGCTGGGCAATCATCTTCAGGGGAAGTGCGCCGCCCTCAGACCTTTGGTCGTTTCATCAGTCTCCCTCTAGTGATTGAAGCTGGCTGTGGCGAGAGAGAGTCCCCTCAGTCCTTAGAGAAATTTTCTTTTCTAAGCTACTAGGTCTCTTCCGAAGCTGCTCACACTCTTGCTCGTATCCAGGCACTGCATCCGGACACCTTTACTGCCATTAATGTTCCTGGACTTATAGTACAGACAGCGCTACTAAAGTCACTTGCCAGTTTCACTCATGACCTTGCTACCAAGCAGATCCTGACAACCCCCAGCAAGTTCGTGGAAAGTGCTGAGGCCAACCTAAGTGGCTTTGAGAGGAACGGTTTGGACCTATTGTGGATGAGGGATAAGTTTCAGACAGTTGATTGTTTCCTTGAGCATGCAAACAATGTGGCGATGATTGCGTCTTTGGAGGAGACTATCAAGGAGTGTGAAGGTGCCTTAGAGCAGCGTCGGCAGAACCTGGCTCAGTTCAAAGAGAAAGACTTTGCATTGGTTGCCCAGTTGCCTCGAGATGTGACCCTGATGGACTCCCTTTTGAAGGGTTTGATTTGATTTGATGTAACTCTGTAATGATTTCCTCCATTTTCTTTTCTTTATTTTGTTGTTTCATTACGCTTGTGGCGCTTTTTCGTTTCTTCTTCTCTGTCATAACTTCTTTTCAGACATTGTAATCATATTCTGGAAATTTGACTTTAATGAAAAGTGTGGATGCTTTGTGGTACTTTGAATTCCATTTCTTTGCCCTCCTTACATTATTTTTTATATAATTTCTAAAGATAAGCGAAACTCTTGCAGTGAACAAAACTTTATCATGACTAAGCTTTTACAAGGATAAAATTTCGCTAAGTATGGAAAACTTTCCTCACACTAAGAGTATATGAGAGTAACAGGTTCACAAAGTGTATGACACTTTCTTTACACTTTGCTTTGGAAATATTAATAAGGAAACTTACAACTCTTTTTCCTAAACAAAAGAAATTAAGGAAAATATTCTTTGACATACTTGGCGTTGACAGGGCCAGTTCTGAAGCAATCATCTACTCTTGTCAACTTGTAGTACCCGTTGTTGCTTGCCTTAGCAACTTTGTAGGGGCCTTCCCATCTGGGTGAGAACTTGGAAATTGGCTGTTTTCCATACCAAGTCCCCCTACTTGAACTTTCTGTGTTGAACAGATTGATTGTAGGCACGAGTTATGGACTGATGATACTTTTCCATTGCCTGCGAGGCCCAATCTCTTCTTTCTTCGGCTGCCTCTATGTCATTCTTCATGCTGTCTGGAACTAAGTGTGCTGACATAGCTGTTCTTGCTGAGAGTACTACCAACTTAACTGGTAACACAACTTCGAACCCATATACTAGGGAAAATGGGGTTGCTTGAGTTGGCTTTTTCTTTGACGTTCTATACTCCCAGAGTGCTACAGGGAGTTGTTCACACCATGTGCCCCCTGCTTCATCCATCATTTTACTCAGTATTCAGATGAGGGTTTTGTTGGTCGCCTTAGCTTGTCCGTTCCCTTGAGGGTAGCATGGACTAGACTTGTGGTGCTTGATCTGGTAGGCGTCCAGCTATCATTCCATATGGCGATTTACAAAGGGAGTTCCATTATCAGACAACATTACTTTGGGTATGCCAAACCTACAGATTATGTTTTCTCTAATGAAGTTGGCTACTCCTGCCCCGTCTGTCTTCCTCATCGGTATAGCCTCTACCCACTTGGTGCTAACTTTAGTTGCTACAATTATTCATCTGTAGCCTTTGGATTGCTACGCTATAAGACCTACCAGGTCAAATGCACAAGTATGGAACGGGTAGGGAGTCTTAATGTTATCCAGTTCAACTGCAGGTGCATGTATCAAGTTCCCAAACTTTTGGCAGGATTGGCATCTTCTCACAAAGTTTTTAGCATCTTCTTCCATTGTCGGCCAGTAGTAGCTGAGGTGAATGAGATGTCCATATAATCACTGCCTTCCTTGATGCTCTATCTTGTGGGCTTCCCTTAGCACCTCATTTGCCTCATCTTTTGATAAGCACGCTAAAGGTTCCTCTTCGAAGCTTCTTCGATATAGCTTGCCTTGGTCAAGGAAGAAACGGAGGGCTCGCCTCTTAACTCTGATTGTATCAGCGTTGTTCTCGGACAATGTACCCTTTCCAAAGTAGTTGATATATGGCTGCCTCCATTCTTCACTGCTTAAGAAATAGGCTTCCTCTTCCTTAGGATAGGACTGACACTTTGCACATTGCCTCTGCAACTCAGTACTTTCCTTCTCCATCTCTAGCCAGTAATACCCTTGCCTCTATATCCATTGGTATAGACTGATATCTCCATCTCCACAGGACTTAGCATGGATATGCTTAAGTCTGTAAGTTGCTTCTTGTCTACCGACGCACTTTTCCAGCAAGTTGTTGGGATCGCAAAAATACAACTCTCCTTTGAGAAGTAGAAATGATGCAAGTTCTGTTGGTCTGATTGTTCATTGGCCTATTTTCAACTACTGGATTATATTTGCTTTCCACCCCTCAACATCTTGCTCTGTATGTTCTTCGCTTAGCACTGCTAATGTTGTTCTTTTCTCGATGACGATGGCTATACTATCATCTAGTATCTCCACCTTTGCCCCTAGCGTAGCCAATGCATCGGGGAAACGGTTGTGTGTTCGAGGAGTATGCTGGATTTAGACATCATCAAACTAAGTGAGCAACCTTTGAACTACGGTGTGATATGGGGCCAACAAAGGCTCCTTCAATGCGAAATCACCCATTGTTTGCTTGACAACTAGCTTAGAGTCACCCCAAATTTTCAACTTGCGGAGGCCCTTCTTTTGGGCAGCTATTAGACCCAGTATCAACGCCTCATATTCATCCTCGTTGTTTGAACACTCAAAGTCAAACTTATATGATAGATGAAACTTCTTTCCTTTTTGATTGGTTAGTGTTACGCCAACTCCACCTTTCCTAGCTCCGGAAGCTCTATCAAATTTGAAGTCCCAATGAGTCTCAATTGCGGCTGTTGAGACATAGACCTCACCTAATAGAGGTACCTCTGCAGGTTCATGTTCACCAGATGGGAATTGAGCCAATAAGTCTGCAAGTGCTTGGCTCTTAATAGCCTTGGGAGTAACACAAGTGATGTCATATTCTGTTAGAGCCAAGAGCCATCTTGTCATTCTTCCAGTCAGAGCTCGCTTGCTCAGAAAGTAGCGAACTGGATCACTCCGGGGTCACAACCTGGATTGGATGTGCCAAAAAGTAATGGCACAACTTCTGCGCTGTGAAAATTAAGGCTAAACAATGCCTCTCAATTAGGGTATATCGCGACTCAGCACCATTGACTTTGTGACTGATGTAATAGACTGACTTCTTAATGCCATCTATGTCTTGGACAAGTAGAGCTCCAATAGACTGAGGAGTAGAGGTCAAGTACAGTAGTAGAGGCTTTTCGGGCTGTAGCGCAATCATTGTAAATGGAGAGGTAAGTGCTTTCTTTACCATATCAAATGCATGTTGGTGTTCTTGCAACCATTCAAACTTGTGATTCCCTTTCAGCAGTGTCCCAAAGGAAAAAGGCTATCTTAGCAAGGGCTGGAATGAACCTACTGAGGTATGACACTTTGCCTAGGAATTTCTTCAAGGCCTTTTGAGAGTGTGGCGGTGGAAGATCCATGATTGAATTGATCTCATCCCCATCTACTTCGATCCCTCGCTGGTGTACAAGAAAGCCAAGGAACTTGCCAGCGGTAACCCTGAACGGACACTTGAGAGGATTCATCTTTAGGCAGAATTTGCGGCAACACTGAAAAACTTTTTCCAAGTCGCAGAGGTGCCGGTTTGCCTCAGTAGACTTGACCACCAGATCATCCACATATACTTCCACTTCATGATGCAACATATCATAGAACACTACAGTCAAAGCCCGTTGATAGGTTGCCCTCGTGTTTTTCAAATCGAAGGGCATCATTGTATAGAAAAAAATTTCCAAAGGCGTTCTGAAGTCGTCTTTTCTGCATCTTCTGGTGCCATTTTGATCTGGTTATAACCACTGAACCCATCCATAAAGGAGAATATCTGATGGTCCGCAGTAGAATCGACAAGTGTGTCAACATGGGGCAATGGAAACTCATCTTTTGTGTAGGCCTTATTCAGGTCACGAAAGTCTACGCAGACCCTGATCTGACCGTTCTTCTTATGCACAGGCATAATATTCGCTAGCCAAGTTGGGTACTGTATAGGCTCAATGAACTTGGTCCTCTATAACTTTTCTACCTCTGCTTTAATGTTTGTTTCAAGATCAGGGTGATACTTTCGAGCATGCTGCCTGATTGGTTTAGAGTTGGAAAAAATGTCCAGATGATCAGTGACAAGGGATGGGTCAAGACCAGGCATCTCATCATATGTCTAAACAAAGACATCACTGTATCGCTTTAGTAGTGTTATCAATTCTATCTTAGCTGCTGGAGCCATTGTATTGCTGATAAACACTGGCTTGCTCTATCCTGGTAAGTCGCTGAGGTTGACCTCAGCAAGCACTTCCTACTACGGTTTGGGTCTATCTTACATGCATTCAGGGGCGGGCTCAAGCGTCTCCACCGACCCTTCTTGGGATTCATCACCGTCACGTTTATTTGTCTCTGGGCTATCCTTCCAAGGTATGAAGTCTGGCCCCCAAGACCGTCATAAGTACTAAACTTTCTTGCGACCCTCGCACACTTTAACAATCTTGGGCGGAGGACTTGTGGATTTGCTGCTCCTTTTCTGTCCATTGCTTACTGGTGCAACCTCTACATCTCGAATGTCTTCTAACTTCGACAATTTTACCCTTACAATTTTACCAGTCCTTGGAGTTTCATCTGTTGACAACTCAGTAAAGAAAACTGCATCCAAATAGTGTGTCTCTTCCACTCCGAATGGCTTTTCAGACGCATTTATGGTCACTGTGCGCTTTCCCAACTTTGCTTTCACACATTGGTGATAACTGGACGGGGTAGCCCCATATCGGTGCATCCAAACTCTGCCAAGTATCATATGGTAATCTGTGTTTGCTTCAATCACATAGAACTTAGTTGCAGAACGGATCTCACCAACTGCTGAGTCCACAAGAACATGGCCCCTAGTAACTTTTTTTTCACCACCAAAACCCGTTATAGTGATCGGTTGGTGAATCATTCCGGACTTTGGGGTACCAGCCTTCGCAAAGGTGTCAGTAGTAATGATGTTTATGGATGCCCCACGATCGAGGAAAGCACGCTTGAATTCTATATCATTGATGTAAGCTATGACAAAAATAGGACGATTATGAGGAAATGGGTATGCTCTGTCTGTTTTTGAAAAAGTAATGGCCCCATAATCTTCCTGGATGCGCTGAGGCACATACTCCTTAGCCTCAGCAACTTCATCATGGTGTACTTCGGAGATGTTAATGATTCGCTTCCAACTTGGTGGCTTGGCTCAGCCCTAGCTGGTCAAAGAAGGTGCGAAACTTAACAGAGTTTTACAAGGCCTGAGCGTGAGTATCCTCTGCAAATTTTTCCTTTGCAGGTACTATCTCAGGGAGCTGGCCGCTAGCGATTTCTACCAACTCATCATAGTAGGATGCCATGTGCACTTGATTGCGCACGGGGCCAAGGTACCCAATCATATGTACATTCTTTCATTTCTCTTTGTGATTAGGATAAGGGTCCTTCCTTACGTCACGATTACCGGCGTCTTTGAACTTCAGTTCATTTGCGTTAACTTTCTTCTTGAAGATATTTTTCAAAGTCCAACAGTCCCTAGTAAGGTGCTTGGTGGTTCTGTGATAGACACAATAATCTGGGCTTTCTTTGTCCTTCTTGGTTGGAGTGACATTAACCGGAAGCAAAGTAAGTTCACCATCAGCGACCCATTCTTTAACCAAGGCCTTAACATTCTCAAGGCTACTAGGATATGGATTTCTGTCCTTATAACTCTTTCTCTTCCGAGAGGACGACGCCTCTGCTTGCGAGCGGCTCCCTTCTGTAGAGGTTACCGCAGTAACTCTGCTACTGCGGCAGTAGCAGTGGCTGCTACGAGATCTGTGCAAAGGACCAGTGGTACTGAGGTTCCTAGCTGCCTCAATCAAGGCTAAAAAGGTAAATAGATTATGGTTCACCAAGAAAATTTTGTAGTCACGTATGGCGCCATCCACACATATGCTGACTAAATGGGCCTCATCCATTGGTTCATGACAGTCAATAGCTTTATCTTGGAACCGCTTAACATAGTCCAGTATATCTTCGCCTTCTTTTTGGACATCTCGTTTAAGTGTGAGGGTTGTAACTTTCTCTTGGACTTGGAAGAACTTCGTGTGGAACTTGTTCACCATCTCCTCCTAACTCTTGATCGAGTTGGGAGCCAAGTTCACATACTAGCTGTAAGCCCTTTCAATAAGTGATTTGGAGAACTCCCTAAGGCGCAGAGAGTGGTCACTGCCATGGGCGTCAAGAGTTTCAATGAACCTCACCACATGTTCTCTAGCATTGCCTTGTTTCCCGTCAAACTTAATAAACTTGCGCACTGTATATCCAGTTGGGTATGGTATGGTCAATATCTCCTGAGAATATGTGGGCTTCACATCTGGGTCTGGATGAGATGACAGCTGTTTCTTACTACGCTCTTGCTCGAGCATACATTGTATATCGGCTAGAGTAACAAAGTGAGTGGGCTGGAATGGTCCAATTTGCTCCTAGGTAGCTGAACCAGCGGCCGTACTGTTCACCTGAGGTACCATACCACCAGAGGCACCTGGATCGGAGCCCGAACCTCAGGGAACAAGTTAGGCACTGGGTTTGGAATTGCTACAGGCAGAGGTGCTTGCACTGGAGCTGGTGTAGACCCGACTTTCTTTCGCGCGTCCCATTTTCAGAGAGGCGGAAATTTGTCTTACTACAGTTCGGACTCTTGTCACGGTTCTGAATCTAATCTCACAAAGTGCAATGTGAGACTGATAAACACCAAAGAGTCCAAATCTGACAAATCATTTTGGAAAATCGATTTTCAATGAAAATCGCCAAACATTGACTGCTTTGCCAGATTACAGAGTCGCCACCTAAATATTTTATTTTGAGAAATTTAGGAAACCCTGACTCGTGCCAAAGGCTACGTGTCCGTCATCACCAAAGTTGCCTCGGCTCGGGAACTTGGGTACGAGAGGGGAAGGTCCTAAAATGAGCACCCCCGCTCGCCCGATCAAAGATCGGCCTCTACTAAGCATGATATGTTGTTTAATAAACTATGTGTTCTTATTCCGATTATTAATCTAACTTACTATGTGATACGCACAACATACAAGTATAGACTCGATCACGAGAATTAGAACAAAAAAACTCATGTTTGTTTGTGAAAATGGTTTGAAAGTGCTACTCGCAAATAGGCTAAAGCGTGGATTTGCCACCCTCAAGTGGACTTAAAAACATGATTTTGTCACTATGCAAAGTGGGCTTAAAACTCACATTTGATGAATTGTCCCAATTCAGGCAATCTAGCCTCCACCCACAGGCATTCAAGTAGTTAAGCACTTAAACAAATAGCCTCATTGCAAGCATGCTATCATGGCAACACTCACACTCATGCAAGAATGCTAAAGCATAAACACTTACAGTGTACTTCGAGCCAAAACAAAAGCTAATTAGAAATCAAGCATGAATCCTAACTATGCTAGATGCCTAATGCAACACATGCAATAATGGAACTAAAATAGGCTCGGCTATCTAGGATGGCATATGAATGCATCAACTTGATAACATGTTTTAAAACACGTATTCAAGTAAGTGTATTGAAATACAATGCAGTTTGAATGATGCGCCGAGCTCGGTGCATGCAAGACAAATGAATGATGCACGCATGCAAGCATAAGGATGCTAATCAAAACGTGCCCTAAAACTAACCATTGAAAACGGTTAAGTAAAAGAGAGAAAGAAATGGGATTGGAAGACATGCACACACACACGCACGCTTATTACAACATTGCGCCATCTCGAAGGAGGGTCCGAATGAATGAGCTAAGCTAATCTAAGCTAAGCTAAGCAAACTAATCTAATTAAACTAATTAGACTAATTATTACACAACCAAATTGAATAACTAGTAAATTACTTACTAATTATTACAACAATTTAACTAATTAACAAATTAATTAAATCACAAATCAAGCTA